AACAGAACAAGAGAACACTGAATGGTTTAAAATCAGAAAAGATATGCACTAAGATTGTAATATTTTACCATATTTATTTCATCTGTATGCTGAGCAAGTAATTTGAGAAGCTGGATTATTTGAAGAACGTGGTATCAGGATTGGAGGAAGACTTATAAACAAACTGTGATCTGCAGATGACACAACCTTGCTTGCTGAAAGCCAAGAGGACTTAAAATGCTTACTGATGAAAATCAAAGACCACAACTTTTGGTATGGGTTGCACCTCAATGTAAAGAAATCGGAATTCTTCACCACTGGACCAATAAATAATATCATGATAAATGGAGAAAAGATTGAAGTTGTCAAAATTTCATTTTGCTTGGATCCACTGTCTACATTCATGTAATTAGTAATCAAGAAATTAAACGATATATGGCAGTAGGCAAATCTGCTACACAAGACCTCTTAAAGTACTTAAGAGCAAAGATGTCAGTTTGAGATCTAAAGTGTGCCATGGTATTTTCAATAGCCTCATATGCATATAAAAATTAGACAATGAATAAGGACGACTATAGAAGAATTGATGCATTTGAGGTGTGTTGTTGGAGAAGAATATTAAAGGTACCATCGACTGCTAGAAGAACAAATCTATGACATTAAGGCAAATGGTCAGGTCCTCTCAGAGCAACCCCCTTCCAAACTAAGACTCAATGGGAATGAATACACACTCTAATTGGTGACCACGTTCGTCACTGATAAGGGGAAGTGAGGGAAAAACAGCAATGAAGCTATGTGCTAAGCCCTACAACATTTAATAGACTCCTGTGAACCCGGGTGAAGACCTGGTTGGCCAGCAGTGTGGCAAGACCTGGGGACTCTTGGGCCCAGAGTCAGTGACATAGCCATAGAGGACTTGAGTGGAGAGTGAAGCATCCAGCTGATAAGAAGAGAGAGCATATGCATAAGAACACCCACACTTGCAGATAATACCCACTTGACCTGGCTTCAATGACTGGATGATCAGAGCTCAACTAGAAGAAGAAAGAGGAGGAAAAAAGAGTAATCTGATACAATGTGATGAACTTGACTTACACCTATGGATGCAGTAGCTCAAAAGAGGGAACAAATCTTTACAGTGAGGATCATTCCCACCCTCTCCATACACAGGGTAGACAGGTATGGGCAACTTGGACATTGGCTACCCAAAATGGAGGGGGGGTTGCTACAAAGACAAAAAGTGACTGGCTTACAAGCTTTCAAGAGGGAGCCTAGATCCAGAGGGTGCGGTGAAAGGTAGAATCTCCAGTGAGTAGTATCCAATCTGTCTGGCCAGGGCTGTTGAAAGGAGTTGTGGATAGGTCTCTTGTGATACAATAGAGAATAATTGTTATCAAGACTGCTTGTGAGGGTTGGAAATGTAAAGGTAGACATTTTGTGACAAAAGGAGGGGAATGATTAACTTTGCAGTTCAGGAGCAGAGGTCCCTGGGACCATCAAGGGAGAAGAACAGAGAGCAGGACCCTACCCAGAGAAGCAGTGATGCCAGAGATGGAGGCAGAGATGATGATATGGAGAGATGGAGCAACTGGGGACTTTAGACCTAGAGAGGAAGAGAGGCTGTGTGCTGACGGCTGGGGGGCAGGCTTGCAGGGTATACCCTTTGGTTGGTTGATGATGCATGGAGGAGATTATAACCATGGCAATGAAATGAGATATGATAGGGTGGATGTAAAGCTAATGTTCTTCCATGTAAACTATCACATAATTCACAATAAAACATTAAAACACACACACACACACACAAAAAAAAATCTGTGTTGCAAGAAGTACAGCCAGAATGCTCCTTAGAAGCCAGGATGACCAGACTTTGTCTCTCATGCTTCAGAGATGTTTCAGGAGGGACCAGTCCCTGGAGAAGGAAATCATGCTTAGTAAAGTGAAAGGTCTATGAAAAAGAGGAAGTCCCCCAACGAGATGGATTGTCACAGTGGCAGCAGCAATGGTCTCAAGCATAGCGATTGTAAAGATGGCGCAGAACTGTGCAGTGTTTCATTTTGTTGTGCATAAGATCAATATGAGCCAGACTGACTCAGCAGCGTCACCACCACTACCACCAAGAAGCTGGAGTCATTTACAGTTCAAAAAAAGCCTTCAGATTTCATGCTCTATTGTTGTTGTTAAGTGCCATTGAGTCTCTTCCAACCCACAGTAACCCTGTATAGGGTTTCCAAAGAGCAGCTTGTGAGCTTGAACCACTGACCTTACAGTTCAAACTGACTTTGCAGTCCAGCTCATTAACCCACAGTGCCACTCCAGGACTCCTCATGTTCTATAGCAATCTTGACATACTTATAGTACACTTGAGTGTGCCATTTTGTACAGTAAGTCTTTTAATGACAAAATCATTTCGTTTTAATTCTTACGAGAATGTTATTTTTCCCCATAGTTTTGCCAGATATAGAATTGTGGGTTGACAAGGTTTGTTTGTTTTTTAAAGCACTTAATACATGTGTTTCAACTTTCTTCATGATTTTAGTTGAGAAATATGTTACCATTAGAATTGGTGTTCCCATATAACAAGTTCATAGCTTCTTGTTGGAATCTTTTTGTATTTTTTGTCTTCAGTTTTCAAAAGTCTAATTAAGAAGTATCTTGATATAACTTTCTTTGAGTTTGCCCTGTTTTGATTCCATTGCAGGATCCATTGCTGCAAGGTTAATTTGAACTGTAAGTTAGGTGGTTCAAGTTTACCAGTTGCTCCTCAGAAACCCTATACAGGTTTGCTATGGGTCAGACAGAACTGACTAGATGGCATATAGCAACAACATAATATTAACATACTTTTATATGCACTGGGAAATAAAAAATGTATGTGACTCACCTTATTTTTATAGTTGCTTTATTGCAGCGGTACGGAACTGAACCCACAATATCCCTGGGGTATGCCTGTGTTGTGCTTTTTGGAGAGGAGTAAGGAAAAAGCATCTAGGTAATCTTGTCCCTCAGCTACTAAGTTTTATTATTGTCAAAATCTTTGCTTATGTTTTGCTAATTTAAACCCAGGACTTCTGGTGTGGCACTCTAGGATCATCACTGGACTGCAAACCACAAGGTTGGCAGTTCAAACACACCAGCTTCTCCTTGGAAACCCTCTACAGGGTTGCTATGAGTCGGAACCAACTTGATGACATTTAACAACAACATATGAATATAAAGAATCTCACAGAAACCTTTCCCAAAGCAGGCATTTAGCTTATTTTTCTAAATATAGTAAATGAAACTGGGGGGAAAAAATGGATGTGCTAATATGTTGTTGTTGTTAAGTGCCATTGAGTTGGTTGCAACTCATAGCGACTCTGTATAGGGTTTCCAAGGGGCAGCTGGAGGGTTAGAGTCACCAACCTTGCGGTTAGTAGTCCAGTGCTTATCCTACAGCGCCACACCAAGACTCCAAATTGAGTTTAGGGGGCAATAAATATAAGGATACTGTTGAGGAACACATTCTTTTCAGCAATTGTCTTCCAATCTTCTCAAGTTGTGCCTGCATCAAGCACAAATGGATTAATGAAGTCACCAAGGGACTTGGGGAGATTCTACCACCAAGATGTTGGATCTATTATTATGTTGTTGTTGTTAGGTGCCAACGAGTTGGAGCTGACTCATAGTGACCTTATGCACAACATAATGAATGTAACACTGCCCAGTCCTGGGCCAACATCACAATCTTTGTTTTGCCTGAGCCCATTGCTGCCACTGTGTCAATCCATCTTGGTGGGGGTCTTCATCTTTTTCTCTGGCTCTCTACCTTACCAAACATGATATTCTCCAGGGATTGGTCCCTCCTGATAATATGTCCAAAGTATGAGAGATGATGTTTGGCCATCCTGGCCTCCAAGGAGTACTGTGACTGCACTTCTTCCAACACAGATCTGTTGGTTCTTTTGGCAGCCCATGGTACATTTAATATTCTCCTCCAACACCATAACTCAAATGCATTGATATTCTATGGTCTTCCTCATTCACTGTCCGACAGATGCATGCATATGAGGTTATTGAAAATACCATGACTTGGGTCAGGTGCACCTTAGTCCTCAAGCTGACATCTTTGCTCTTCAAAACTTTAAAGAGGTTTTGTGCAGAAGATTTGCCCAATATATAGGTTGTTTGATTTTTTGACTGCTGCTTCCATGAGTGTTAATGGTTGATCTGAACAAAATGACGCCTTTGACTTCTATTATTACAGAAAGAGCATATCATAGGAAGGGCACAGCCTCTTCCTCTTGGGGTTCTCTGAATGATAAGACCTAGCATAGATGTGTCTGCTTGAGCAATCTCAACTCTGAAATACTGAGTGGTACCGGGAGGAAGATGGTTCTAGAACTACCCAGGTTGACTTTTCTCTGCTTTGAGCTTTAGTAGCAAAAGGGCTTAATATAGTCAAGTGCAACAAAGTAGAAAAAAAAACCCCAGATGTTTATTTGGGGCATAATTCTCAATCCATTACATTGTATTTCTTATTCACGTATATACTGTGTTGTTTCCAAAATACATTTGAAGTGGTTTTAACAGATATATAATATATAGGAAAATATAAATTAAATAGAGGTCAAAAAGATCAAGAGGGAAACAAGAGACAGGAAAATAAACTAGTACAAATTGCTTCCCCAAAATACTCCATAGAGTTACTGCTCCTGAAACATGTTTGATTTCTTCTGAAAGATCCTAAAGTTTTCACTTTGAGAATGGCCATCACCCTGAGCAGAGTAACCTAGTTGTAGATTCAGGTTACCATGCTCTTGAAAGATTACAGCCCAAATTAAGGTGCACTAGCAAAGCTAACACTACAGTTATTAATTCCTTAAATGTTTTGTCTTTTTAATTCTTCTATTTAATTCTCAGAATCTAAACCAAAACTGATGATACAGACTTGCAGTGTCCCTCTCAAAACAGCAGGAGGTCTAGGCGATGCTGGTGACACACACGGGAACTGAGATGTAGTCAAGTGCTGTGCCCAGGGACTAAATGACCATACTCCTTCCACTATGGGAACTGTCTCTCTCCTGGGGGATAAAATGTAAAACAAAAGACCAGTCAGCTGAGGGGAAAGTGCTATTGTCTATGCACAACATAATATACAAGGAGGACTTGATCCAGGCGCAAATTCTGATTGAGTGGGTAGTTGCTGGGGCAAATATGAATCTAAGAAATATTCCTTGACTCTTCATGTGATGCCAGTCTCTCCCATAGGCTTAGGATCCCCCTCCTTTCTAGCTTGCTGCAGCTGTCCTCAATGACACCTGCTCCACTCTCAGTCCATCTCTCTGCCTTCCATTTACAAAGCAATTCTTCACCCTGTATATGCTCTTGAACCATTCTTTCTCAACCCTTTACTAACAAGTTTCTCTTTTAGTATTTCTCTGAGGTTAATTTTCAAAGATGACTACCTCTTCCTGAGCAAACTCAATGGTCTTTCTCACTTCATGAGGACAAGGACTATGGTTTATACTTTCTCATATTTCTCCAGTTATGAATTATATTGTTGCTGTTAAACACCCATTGAGTCGATTCAATTGGTGCAGCTCATTATGTTTAGTTTTTTTTAATATCCACAGCCCTGGCTTGCTGGTGTGGTGCTGTAGGATAAGCACAGAGTTGCTAACTGCAAGGTTAGCTGGCAGTTCAAACCCACCAGCCACTCCTTGGTTACCAGACAACACTTAACAACAACGGAGCTTGCTAAACACGGTCAAGGATTAGATATTTTATTGAAAGTAAAAATTCTGATCTAAAATTTGTTCTTAATTTTTGTTATTAAATCAAGGAGTGAAGGAAAAAGAAAATGAAAACAAACAACAGAAACCACCTGGATCTAGCTATAAAATTTGAGTGTAGCTTGAAGAGAAAAGAATACAGTCCCTTCTCTTTATCAGAGCAGGTATGTATGAGGCAAGTTTGGAACAAGCTAGAAATGCCGAGGGCAAGATTAGAAAGGCACACCATTTAGACAAAGGAGGAACACAGGAGCCACTAAGTCTGTAACCATGGGAATTAAAAACCTTAAGCTTTTGCTTCTTGTATTTCTGAAATTATAGCTTTTGTGAAGTAAAAAGACCATCAGATCTGAAGACAGATCTGAAGACAGTTCTGGAATCTGGTAGGTGATCTCTCAGCATAACTTTGATTTTCTCATGGGTAGGAGAATTTTTCTTACCTATTTTGTGTTCCCATGAAATCATCTGCATGAAAGTCCTTGTTTGTTTGTACTTACATGTTAATCGTTGCTCATGGGAGAAAGTATCATGGGACCCAAGCTTTTTTGTTTGTTTGATATTACTCTTAATAGTTAATCAAGTATTTTAAATAAATACGCTGTAAAAGTTTTAGTAAAACTGTAATTGCTGAAAGCTTGACTTGAGAAAAGTGAGGTTATCTTTTCAATTTGCAGATTAAACTGAAGCTCAAAATTATACACTATCAAAGGTCACCATCTAGTGGTTCAATTGCACTGTAACTTTTAAGCATGCCTAAAACAAGGAGCTCTGGTAGTGTACTGGTTATGAATTGGGCTGCAAACCTTAAGGTCAGCAGTTTGAAACTACCAGCTGTTCCATGGGACAAAGAGGAGGCTTTCTGCTCCCACAAAGATTTGCAGCCTCAGAAACCATGTACAGGGTCGCTATGAATTGGAACCGACTCCACGGCACACCACCACTACCACCACAAGCTGGAAGGAATAGGGATGCAACAACTGTGGAATGCATCCATCCCCACCTAGGAGAGGAGGAAAGAGGGCATTCAAAAATTCCAAACAAAAAGCTGTTTCCTGTAAACTAAGCATTGAGCCAAATCAAGATTCTGCCTGGTCCTCAGGGTACTGTCAGGAGTAGAAAGTTGAATGTAGAAGACACCCAAAGAGAAAGTGCCAATGAAGACAAGACTTTTAAAGTTGTCTTGAACAAAATATTTGCTTTTCAAACTAGAGATTTTGTTTTGTTCATGGTAGAATTATTGGTGTGGTTCCTTGATAATAAAGAAAGAGGTCATATTTCCAGAAAATGAGAAATAGAGTAACCAGAAAATGTAAGTGTGCCCACATGCTTCTCATCTTTCCATGTGCTATTGACAAGGGTACAGACTTGAGATCAAAAGGGCTAGGTTCAAATCTTGACTTTACTATTACCTATGTGCTACTTAATTTTTCTATGCCTCACAAGGTTGTTGTAAAGACTAAATGAAATAAAGGATTTTACCCTAGTGATTAGGATATAAATGATGTTAAAAAAAAAAAAGTTAGGCTACTTTACCCTTCTCTCACTTACAAAACCCAGTATGGAACCAATATAGGGTTTCCAAGATTATTAATCTTTAAGAGAACAGACAGACTCATTTTTCTCCCTTGGAGTTGCCAGTGGATCTGAACTGCCAGCCTTGTGGGAAATATTCCAAGACTTAATCCACAGTGCTGATAGCATGGATCTATTGACCTAACAAGGAGCTCTGGTAGCTTGTTGTTGTTGTTGTCGTCGAGTGGTTACGAATTGGGCTGCTAATCTCAAGGTTGGCAGTTCGAAACTACCAGCAGTTCCATGGGAGAAAGATGAGGCTTTTCTGCTCCCGTAAAGATTTACAGCCTCAGAAACTCTATGCAGGGTCGCTGTGAGTCAGAACCGACTTGATGGCACTTAAGAACAACAAATGACATAAGCAAAACAGAGTTGGTTTAGTAGTTGTTGTTGTTGAAAGTCCCTTAGACTCATAGCAACCCTGTATAGAGTTTACGAGGAGTTGCTGGCAAATTTGAACTGCCAACCTTGAGATTCAAATGACCTTACAGTCCAACACGTTAACTCCCAGTGCCACACCAGGACTCTGGTTTAGTCATTAATAAATGAGGACCCTGCAAATGAGGAAGTTAGACTTCATGGTCCTAGAAGGAGAACAGGACTATTTGTGTTTCTTTTTCCAAAGAATGCTATCCGGATGTTAAAATCGATTAAGCATACATCTAAATGCGGTGGTGGTGGTTAAGTGCCACCAAGTCTATTCCGACTCAGGGGGATTCTGTTTAGCATTTCCAAGGCTGTAAATCTTTATGGGAGCAGAAAGCGTCATCATTCTCCCACAGAGTGACTGGTAGATTCGAACTTCTAACCTTGTGGTTGGTAGCCCAGTTTGTAATCTACTTAGCTACCAGGGCTCTAGCCAAGTGTAACTTACCCTATGTAATGTGCCTGCTCTTTGTTAAAAGAAAGGGCAATCTTGAGAGATTACTCTTCCTGTCCTCTATACTGCTGGCTTTCTGTTAATAAAGCTTGGATTGGCTCTCTCCCCGTCTCTGTGATTGACTACAGTGACAGGTGGCAAACCCTCATTTCGGTTTGGCAACATTTCCACCAGGGATCCTTTTCACTTAGATGGAGCTCCATAACTTAATTTACAGAGAAGAAAGTAATTGCAATAGCCTTTGTATTTGGGGTTCTAAATCTGACTTTTAAACTACATTTCTTCTACTTCTTTTTTGTTGTTGTTAAAATGAAGGTAAGCAACATGATTGTCCTGGCTCTGTCTGATTCTGTGCTGTCTTTTAGACTGAATTTTTCTGACTGATAACAGGGAAGAGAGCGTATTTTCTGTAATATGAAGGTAACAGTACAAACCTCACAGAGTTGCTGTGAGGTTTACACAAGAGGTTACGTAAGCAATCCATAGCTCACAACCAATAGGCAAGGGATGGTTGTTTTCACATGACTGGTCTGTGCATATTACTCTCATAAGGAACTCTGGTGGCACTGTTGACAGTTCAAATCCACCAGCCGCTTGTCCGGAGAAAGAAGAGATTTTCTGTTCCCATAAAGATTTATAGCCTCGGCCAAGCCTATAGAGGATCTAAGAGAATACGAGATCATTGCTACTGATTGTTTCAGAAATACCTGCTGGCCTTTGCTACTCTCCTCCACCGGCCATCGACTCACCAAAATACTCCTTTCTGGCAGCCAGACAGCTCTTCTAAGGTGGCTGATCCTTTGCACACACCAGTCTTGTGATCGGTGTTTAAACAAACTGCTGTGGAACTTGTACTTCCAAATGAGAATTGCATCCTTCCAAGCCCATGAGAGATTAAAATTCTTGTTTCTGTAATAACCCTCTACTCAGGAAACTACCTTCAGAGACTATTGTATGTTCCCCTGACTATCTCAAAGCAGCAAAGGGAAAAGATATTAGTCAAATACATAGAGTAATAAATTTTCGTGGGGAGCTTGTGAGCTGGCTCTAAAGGCAATTCATGAATGCTTTTGAGCAAAGGCCACATAACTTTGCAAAGTGGAAAATTAAAGGACCATCATTTGTATGTATTAATTATAAAGTGATGTTTAGAAGTCCTCTCTTCTTTTAAAAAGCCTACCTCAAGAGGTCCAAAATTACCTATATCTTTCTAGGTCACCTTTTCAGGGTAGTAAGCTAGGATTGGCATCTACTGGCACCTCATCTGTGACCCATATGTTGTTAAGTGCCGTCGAGTCGGTTCTGACCCATACCTGTATTGGGTTTCTGAGGAGTGAGTGGTGAGCTTCAATGGCTGATTTTACAGTTCAAACTGACTTTGTAGTCCAGTGCATTAATCCACAGTGCCACATCTGGATATATATATATATTTAAATCAGTATCATTATCCTTCTAGGGTATCTCAGAGGGCCTCGCCCTCACATACACCAAGGTCTTGCATGCTGGTTTGCACAACCCAGCAAGTAGCACAAACATCCTCTGTCAGGCAGATCGTTCTAATTTGGGGTATGGAAATACAGTTGCTAAGTAAAGCAAGGCAACTAAGACAGGAGATAAAACCTTAGCCTAAAAGGTCTACGTTCAACTCCTGGGTCCACAGCTCACAAGCTGCTCAATCATTCTTAGCCTCTTTTCATCATCTGTGAAGTAGAAACCTGCCTGCCCTGCCTCACAGGTCTCTGAAGTGAAACTGAGGATGAGGTCCTTTAAGCATGGAGCCCCTTCCCTGCAGTCTGCACTGACTAGTACACTGTACTCATTAGGTCCCTGCTAGTTCTAACATGTGGTATCTCACCAAGCCCACCAGGCAGTTTGTGCAAAACAGAGAGGAGGAACCCTCAGTGGTGGCATATGAAGAGACTTGTGTCGTGTCAGCCGTAGTGGGCTCCTTCTGCTCATGTACCCCCCTCAGCGGGATGCCCCAGGCTCACCGAGCACCTCTCCATTCTCCCTTTTTTCCTGCCATTCTTGCCTGGAATGACATCCAGAGAGCGGTAGCTAGGAGGCTTCTCTTCTGGCCAGTTTTGGGAGTGTGAGCACCGTCGGTGGGGGCGGTGGACTCCCCAATCCCGGGGCTGCCTCTCCTTCTCTTCCTCAGAACTCCAAGAACTGAGGCTAGAGCGCAGAGGAGGGGAGTAGCTTCTGTGCCTGCGTCTCCTGTACTTCTGGGCACTCTCCCGAGGGCTGGGCCTACGGGGTCTCTCGGGACCATGGCTCCTAGAAAGGGGGCGGCTGGACCGCCATCGTGCTTCACTGGACGAAGGGCCTTCACTGAGGCTGTTTCTGTCTGACCAGGGTGTGGGTGAACCATTCAACCTGGAGCGATGGTGCCTCCCATGCCTCCAGTGGTCCCGTTCCCTTCCCCCAAGCGCCCAGGGCTCTGGCCAATGGTCTTGAGGCTCCTGGTGGAAATCATAGTAGTGATGCTGCCTTCTCCCCTCCCTTAGATCCCAGAGTCCAGAGAGACCGTCGGTGCAGCGTTGCTGGCATGAGGAGTGGCTGGTCCTCTGAGAGGACGGAAGGTTCCGGATCAGCGGGGGTAGGTGGATGATTCTGCGTTCCATGACCTCAGAGCCTAGGGAGGACAGCATGCTGCAGGGATGGCCAGGTCTGGCTTTGAGCTCGGGGGGCAGAGGCTGAGCTGGGTTGAGGTTCCGCAACTCCTTCTCCAAATACTCTAGGACGCCACTGGCAATGGGAGGGTAAACAGCAGTCTGGGTCATTGGCATCTGTGGAAGGCTGGACCTCAGGGACAAATCTGGATAGAAACAAGGATGAGAGCATGCAGAACTGACAACCCGAAACAATGCTCCTGAGAATCAAGGCGCTAGAAAGTCACATATTTTAGCTTGAATCCAACCCTTACATCAGTCATAAAATACTCACCATATTGGTCGTGGAGTTTCTGATCAGCACATATTTCTACCCTTGCCCTCTGCCCTCCCCATCCCAAACTTCTTGCAAGGTTTACCTCGCTGCAGCAGCGGGTTCATTGGGTAAGATGAAACCTGGGAGCTCCTGTCCGCCCCCCAGTACAGGGGTTTTTCCATCATCTGAGGGACTAGGGCCTGAGCCTGCTTCATGTAGCGGTGGCGGGCCAGGGCTGCAGAGGAAGAAGGAAAAATGCAGACCCTCTGCCAGGGCACATCCCACACATCTTCATCTAGCATCCTTTCCAAGAGACCAGCTTCTCCTCTCCTCCAAGGCCATTATGCCCTATCTTAAAACACTAGGTTCTGACGCAAGTGTCAGGGTGTTTCTTAGGGGTATCAACGGCTTCTTTTTTTTTTAAGTGGTTCACCAGTCTTTTCTTCTCAGGCACCTCTGGGTGAATTCAAACCTACAATATTTTAGTTTGTGGAGCCTTTTAGAAAGGCATTTTGAATAAATTCCCTAGGGAAAACAGCAACTCTTGCACCCTTAGAAAGTATACTATTCAAATTTGACTTCCTAGCTTCAAAATATTTCACCATTCTACCCATTCCCAGGACTCATTACATGGGGCTATAAAATCAACACTAGACTGTGAACCACAAGGTTGGCAGTTCAAACCCACCAGCTGTTCCTTGGAAACGCTGGTTATCAGTTGGAGCCGACTCCACAGCACTTAACAATAACAGCCTCTTCCCAAAGTCACCTGAAATGTACAGGCAACTACGTGGATACTAGCACTGACATCTCTGTCAAAGGCCACAGCTGAGAAATAGAAAGTACAGACGCAAAGGGTTTAGACATGCTGTGAGTCAGGGGCTGGGGGCTTTTGGAGGAGCAGTCAGAGATGCGCACAGACGCCTGCTCAGAGTGGAATTAAAAAAGGGAAGGACATGGATGTTGAAGGTCAATGGGTAGAATTACTGGTAAAGAGAGGAGGACTGAAGAGTTTTGTTTCTTGCCAGTACACCAGTCCTGGGTGGGAGAAAACCCATGGTAGGAGGTGAGAGGCAATACAAAATGCTGAAGTAGATTCCACTGAATTATTTTTGATGCCTTTTCTCACCGTATTAAGTGCTGGGGTTTCCCCTAAGTAGCAGGAATCTCTTCAGTGGTGAGGTGAGGTGGCAGGGAAAGGGAAAAGGAAATATCATTTCCTTTCAGGACAAAGAGAAGATTATGGGAAGCATCATGAGGGATCAAAACAATGTCACTCCACCCCCAACACTTACCTGGTCTGAAGCATACAGCCCACTCAGTAAAAGTGAGTGCAAATGAAACACAAAAGAATTTCTTTTATGAGGCCACTGAGTGCCACGTGTCTCCCAAGGTCTCTGCCTATCCAAGCGTGTAGGAAATGTACTTGTGCATTCAAATTCAGGAAGTGACTGCCTTAGGTTGCAAACACAGACAGCCACCAAACTAGTACCCCTACCTCCTTGGTGCCTGCCCTCCAATCCCATAGAATCTAACGCTATCGAGCTGATTTCATTCATAGGAACTCCATGTAGTAGTGGTTCTGTTCAGTGAAGTTGGTTCCTACTCACAGTGACTCTGTATAAGATTTCCAAGGCTGTAAATCTTTACAGGAGAAGAAAGCCTCATCTTTCTCCAACGGAGTGGCTGGTACACTTGAACTGCTGACATTGTTTAGTTGTTAAGTGCCACTGAGTCGGTTCCAACTCACAGCGACCCTGTCTAGAGTTTCCGAGGAGCCGCTGGGAGATTTGAATTGCTGACCTTGCGGTCCAGTGCATTATCTTGCAACACCACACATAAGACTGAGTAAAACTGTCCCATTGGGTTTCCAAGGTTGTATGTGGTGTTGTGGGTTAATGTGCTGAATCTCAAAGATGGTCTGAACTGCAAGGTTAGCAGTTCAAACTTACCAGCTGATCCTCAGAAACCCTATACAGGGTCGCTATGAGTCAGACCTGACTCAACGGCACTTAACAACTATATTTACAGAAGCAATTGCTACACAGTAGCATCACTAGGGTCTGTGTCACCCTGGGTGGTGACTCATTGTGTTCCCCTCCCAACCCCTACCCTCCATGGGTAACACCAGCCATCAATTTCCTTCCCCTGCCAGAGGGGCCTGGCCCCACCCCTTTGGGTCCCCACAGCTTCTCCCTTCTCCCACTGACCAAGGTAAACACCTTCCTTTCCACGCCAGGGAGGGGTGACAAGTTAATAAATTAGCACACTGGGTGAGGAGTGACAGCCCCTCTTCCTGTGGCACTGGCCTGTCCACGGCCACAGTGGACCTCTGACAAGGTTAGTGATGCTATTGTCCCAAGGGTTGCATGAGTTGGAATGGACTGGAAGGCAGCTCTGTTCAACTAAATCTTCAGATAAATCTCTTTTATGGGAGTCAGATGAGGTGTCCCAGCTGGTGACTGGCAGAGTCAGGGTGTAAACCTCTATCTGTCTGACAGCCAAACCTGTGCTTTTCCTACTATACCAAATCCTTGACTCTTTTATTTTGTGAGGAAGAAAAAAAAAAACTTCCCCAGGGGAACTTCCTCAATTTATTTCTCTTCAATTCAGCTCCTTAGCTTTCAAAAACCCATTCTAGTCTAGTCTCTGCCTTTAAGGACGGTGGTCAAGTGATTCCACTCTGAACCCTATTCTCTTCCCCTACCCCTTTTAAATTAAATCCTGACTTTCTCCAGAAGGTACCATTTTCTTTTTTGGCCACTTCCTTCTTCTACTCCTTGAATTCAAATGGGGAAAAACAGAGAGTTGGGCTTACTCCATACTCTTCAACAGACTTAAAAATTTTTTTTATATAATAGGACCCCTTGCACAGATAACTCTCTTGAAGGATCACTTCAAATCCTCTGTAAGCTTTTCTTTTATATCCCTGCCTTTCCTCCCTTACTTCAATGATGAACCCACATGCTCTCTTCTTGATTACAACAACAATTTCTCCATGGTCCCTCCCTTCCTTGATGCATTAGCACTGATGTGATCCAACTGGAAATGAGTCTTTGAGCTTCTCCATTGTCCTTCTATCCCTAAGCAACCCCAAGGAGAGGTCAGGAATATTCAAGTGTTTCTGTTATTCATCCTAATGGGGCATCAGGACAGGTCATAACAATAAGAATCACTGAGAACATAACAAACCTTCAAAAAAAATTCCCAATAAGTCATCTCTGAACCTCAATGGAATAAAGTCTGCATGTTGTTATCGTAAGTGCCGTCAAGTCAGTTCTGACTCATAGCAACCCTGTAGAGGGTTTCCGAGGAGTGGCTGGTGAGTTTGAACCACCGACCTTGCAGTTTAAACAGATCTTGTGGTCCAGTGCTTATCCTACAGAGTCACACCAGGACTCCAAAGTCTTTAATGAGCTTGTTTAAAATATAAATTCAAGGGTCCCACTCTCAAAGAATCTCTTTTAGTAGGTCTGGTGCTGTAAGATAAACAATGGACTGCTAACAACAGGTTGAAGTTCAAACCCAACAGATGTTCCATGGGAGAAAGATGAGGCTTTCTGTCCCCATGAAGATTTATAGCAAAGGTGGAGAACCTTTTTACTGCCAAAATGTATCATTCGCAGGCCATACAAAATTATCAACTTAAAAATTAGCCTGATACAGAGGAGACTATAACCATTGCAATGAAATGATGAGTTGTAAAACTGATGTTCTCCCATGTAAACTATCACTCAATTCACAATAAAAACTTAAAAATAAAAATAAAAAATTAGCCTGCTATATTTGGTCAAACATTTAATGAACTCACCCCCAATGTGATGGCTGGACTTTGGGTGCAGTGCTGTAGGATCAGCACTGGACTGAGACTCACAGGGTCAGCAGTTCAAACCCACCAGTTGCTCCTCAGAAACCCTATACAGGGGTTGCTATAAGTCGGAACTGACTCAACAGCATTTAACAACAACATGATGGTTGGAGCTGTGGTTGCCTTGGCAAGGCCAGACCAAATGATTTTCCATGCTATGTGGTCCATGGAGTCCTGGTGTGGCACTGTAGGATAATTCACTGGACCGCAAGGTTGGTTTGAACTGTAAGGTCGGTGGTTCAAATTCACCAGCCGTGCCTCAGAAACCCTTACAAGGTCTCTATGAGTCAGAGCTTACTCCACAGCACTTAACAACAACATGCAGATTTTACTCCATTGAGGTGTAGAAATGACTTATTGGCTGATTTATAGCCTCGGAAATGCTACACAGGATCACTATGAGTCAGAATCCACTCAATGACAGTGAGTTTTGTTTTTTTCAATGCTAGATGAGAAAATGGTGTTTTTGAACATGCTTCCTAATTCTAATGCAGGAAGTTAACTTGTAGTTGATTGTTGATGATTCTCAACAATCCCTTGAGAAACATGGTCCTGGGGGATAGGTCTCTTTTTAAATATGGGTTTTGAGGGTTCTGATGGACTTCAACTTGAATCTCACATGTAGTAGCTATGTGACTTTGTGTGAGTTTTCAGTCTCTGTGGCCCAGTGTTCTCATCTATGAGTTGGGGATAGGATAGTAATGCCTATTTCTCCAGGTTGTTGAGTCGAGCAGAAACAAAACACATGAAATGCCTAACATATAACTGTAAATAGATGGTGGTTTTCATTGTTAGAAGAAATCTTTTCTTTTGCCATTAAGATCACGTGTTGTTGTTGTTAGGTGCCATCAAGCCAATTCTGACTCATAGTGATCCTATGCACAACAGAACGAAACACTCCCAAGTCCTGTGCTTTTCCTGCCTTACCAAATCCTCAACTCCTATATTTTGTGAGGAATCAAACAAACAAACAAAGAAAAAACTTCCTCAGTTTATTTCTCTTCAAGTCAGTTCCGTATCTTTCAAAACCCATTCTAGTCTAGTCTCTACCTTCAAGGTCAACATCATAATTGTAATGTTTTAACTTCTGGTACTATGTTCTGCTGCTATTTATAATCTTTTTGGTGACTAAACATTTAGAAGTGGTCTACTTCTCCTTCTTCCAATCTGTCTTAGTCTGGAAGCTCTGCTGAAACTTGTCTACAATGAGTGACTCCGCTTGTATTTCAAATACCAGTGGCACAGCTTCCAGCACCACAGTAACATGCAAGTCATCACGGTAAGACAAACTGACAGATGGGTGGGGGTAAGATATACTCTATGTGCCATAGAGTCACTTCCAACTCATAGCGACCCTGTGTAGGGTT